TACGATCGCATCGGCTGAAAATTCTCAAAGGTAACCGACTAATACTTTACGCAATTCAAATAAAATTTAAATAATTTACAGATATCGAGCTCTCTCTCTTTTGAAAAAGAAAGCGTCCTCCAAGAAAAATTGAGAACTGGATCGCTTTGGGAGATACCCTTTTGCGACTTGCTCTCGTACAAGATTTCCTCTCGTTGTATGGAAATTTTCAGATTAATGAAGCTTGTATTTATCTCGACCGCGTTCAAAACTAGCGTCAAATTCTCGAAGATATAATTCGAGTTGTTGTTCGTGAGCAAAATGCCACTTTAAATGCGATTTAAACGTCTCACAGTGCGTTGTGTTCGAAATGAGAGGACCGAACGTACGGACAATGCGCCTCTACAGTGTAACTTTATATGGTCGCAATTTAAGAATATTTATTTATTTTATTTTGCCTTTATTCTTGAGTGGGCGGGGTTTCATCCAATGCTGCTCTACCAACCCAACCCACTATACATTTACAAATATCCATGCCCGAACCCGGATTCGAACCAGGGACACTTAGCACCACAGTCCAGCTTTAACTGAACTGCGCCACACGGGCCGGCCAATAATATCACTTTACTTGCAAGGGGGAAGTTAATATTAATCGTATTGTTAACAGTGGAGTGTGCATGCGCGCATCACTAAAGCGCATCGTCTTTATCGGAATGTTGTTTATACTAAAACTGCATTAGGTATCTTATTTCTGAATATTCAATTAAGACAATTTTATTCACGGGAATAAAACGCACGCAGAATGTTGTTTTTTTTTGTACTTTATATATGTATGGATTCAGTTGTAATGTAGCTAATAAAAGACATTATTATTATTATTATTAAAATATGGCCTTATTCCAATTCAGACCCACGAACTTTTTATGTTTCTTCCACGCATACTTTGCCCGGGAGATTTTTCACCTTTGAATTCTCGTTGCTGGCGTCTATTGGTCCCTTGCACTTGGTAACGAGTAACGGTCACTAATCTTGCAATATAAATTTGTATTTCATTCCCCTAACCCCGTCTCCAGACGATTCTACGCAACTGCGTTAACTTTTATTGTATTGGTTTGGTTCTATTAGAATGAATTGTTTTCCGTTCGGTCTCAAGCAAGTTGTTTTGGGGTGATTTTCAAGACCTGACTATACCTACGCTCTTTGGCTTTGTGAAAGTCTACTGTATTCTGGGACTTTTTTGTGGTGTAAACAACTCTTCCAATCAATTTGGAATTGCTATCAGAGTAAGGGCTTGATTATGGAAAGTTTTCTGAATCTTCGTCTTTCTATGGAGAACTGGCCGTTGCTAAGTTTTCAAAAAAGTTTTACATTTTTACAGCTACGGCAGCTAAAACATTGCCCTACTCACGTTCATCTACTCATTTGCTGCCTGCCAGCCAGCCAGCCAACCAACCAACCAGCCGGCCAAAGTGAGATTAAAATTTATGAATAAATTTGTAAAAACTTGCTAAAAACAGATGCCGACCATTCTAACCTTTAACACTGGTCAACAAAAATAGGTATTTTTTTTGCGCATGGGATTTACTTAATATATTCTGACTATAATAAGCAAAAATAAATAAAAAGTGCGATTAGACATCGAAAATATTTGCTTCTACAAAAGTTATAGCGATTTGATTGAAAGCATTCAGGGGCGAAAATTAAAGCTGGAGTCTTTGTTTTCCCTCAAATAAATCCTGGAACAGTTTTAAGGCAATAGTCCATGGTCTCCCGTTCAGTGGTTCCTGGGAAACCATAGAGCTGAAAGATATGACGAGCTGACAGGATTTGGTTTTGCATCATCGGGTATAGAATGTCTCTAAAGATGCACAGGTTACATTCTCATTTAGATTCATTTAAGGATAATGTGGGAGCTTTTTGGTAATAACAAGGACAACACTTTCATCAAGAGTCAAGACAATGGAATTTAAGCACGTTACCAAGGCCAGTAAGCTAGAAGCATGATGGAAGATCATATTTAGGGGGTTGATGAGAAAAACTTCAGTTGAACATGACAAAAACAGCAAAACTGTTCCATTTTAAACATTTAGACTCTAAGACAAACAAATTATAAATGTAGGAACATTACCTTTTAATAAATCATGCCTGTGTAAGTAAGATTTTTAGGTATTTTTATTTTTTTGGTTTTTTGCGAAAGACGCTTATAATAAAAACTGTTAAAAATATAAAGGGGGGGCTAGATACAGAATTGGGGGGGGGGCTGCATCCCTCCCTAAAAAGGCCTAGCTACGCCACTGGATGTTTGCAATTTTAATTTCTGACAAATTTATAAAAATTCCAATAAATTAGCTTTAAATCCAAAAACAAAGAACACCATGCAAGGGTTAATATTAAACGCAGTATTAAAGATACAGATCACCAAAATATCACTTACCGAAGGATGAAGCAAATCCAAAGTAGATTCTCGGCGGTGTAAGCGCTTATACAGACGGTCCAGATCTACAACAAAAGTTATCCACGCACAAAGGACATTAACGTGGAATTAATTACGTTAAAAGGTATGAGCTTAAATAGGGCCAAGTGAAGCTTGATGTATGTACAGGGTGGCCAAATAAGAATGCGAGGTACTGTATCTGGGAACCTGTCCATCGTAGAGGCTTGCAGTAAAAAAATTTATTACTAAAACGGCCACGAGAAAACCTGGAAAATATTTTTAAGTTTTGGAAATGGCCGCTAGGGGGCATAACTGCAATCTGGAATCTAAAACAGTGATTTTTCTGTGAATTCCGCTATATTAACCTAACAAAAAAATGTCCGGTCTTTGAAGTTGACGATAATCTGAACCTTTTTTGTTTGACAATTTTTCCTGTATCTCGAAAAATTAAGTGGTGGGGGGTATTCAAAGGTTTCCGTAAAGAACACCCTGTATCTTCGAACCGGCTGAGCCGATTTAAACAAACTCGGGTTAGTTCAAAAGAGCTATTCTTTAGCTACAAATATTATACTATTTAAAGTTTTGTTAATTTCACAAATCACCGCTTGAGGGCTTTTTTCGACATTCCGACAGAAATGTTTAATTTTCTCAAAAAAATTAAATGCATTGGTTCGATTTTTTTTTCATGAAAAAGTAGCTAAATTATGCCTAAACAAACTCGCGAAAACAGCATCTCGATATCTTGAGATATATATATATTTTTATATCGTGATGGCCAGCATTTTGGGCATTTACGGCGGCATTAAAAGCTTTATTTTTTAAATCGATCCACCTTAGGGCCACAAATTATATAATAAAAATAATTCCGGAAAAATTAAATTCTGAGGGTATAACATTTTCTTTGGCCTAAATTTTAAGTTAGGAACAAGATATCGAGTGCGGTTTTCGCGAGTTTGTTTACGCATCATTTAGCTACTTTTTTATGAAAAAAAAGTCGAACCAGTGCATTTAATTTTTTTTAGAAAATTAATCATTTCTGTCAGAATGTCGAAAAAAGCCCTCAAGCGGCGATATGCTTATTGTAGCCGAAGAATAACTCTTTTCAATTAACCTGAGTTTGTTAATATCGACTCAGTCGTTTCGAAGATACATGGTGTTCTTTACGAAAACCTTTGAATACCCCCCACCACTTCATTTTTAGAGATACAGGAAAAATTGTCAAAACAAAAAAGGTTCAGATTATCGTCAACTTCTTAGATCGGACATTTTTTTGTTAGGTTAATACAGCGGAATTCACAGAAAACTCACTTTTTTGGATTTCAGATTGCAGTTACGCCCCCTAGCGGCCATTGCAGAAACTTAAAAATATTTTCCAGGTTTTTCTCGTCGCCGTTTTAGTAATAAATTTTTTTACCGCAAGCCTCTACGATGGACAGGTTCCCAGATACAGTACCTCGCATTCTTATTTGGCCACCCTGTACAAAAACATACCACTATGAACATGTAGTTGTCTCCATTTAAGGCGTAGGCAGACGATATGGGTTTAACGATTGCTCAACGAAGTCGTCCACGTAGGATTGGTTCGACACTAGGTACGCTGGTTGTAGTTTACCCACAAATACAATAATCGAATGTCGTAGTTATCTCTAATAGACTTGCAGGATAGTGATTCTTCCCCAAACTTAATCGTTACTTGACCAATCAATGTATCCAAATACAGGCAAAACAAAAGAGAGTAGCAAACGACTCAGAATAAACAAACAGCTTAAACAGAATCGTAACTCAATAAAAGAAGTTAAAGGATTAACAGGCTTACCCTGAGCCGAGATATAATTCGGGCGTTCCAAAGATACGTGCTTCTTTAATCCGGAACAATCCGCATCATACAATATTGTAAGAAAGACCTTCCAAATGGCAAAATACGGCTTCTCCAATATTAGTTTAATAAGGATGGCTCAAATAATCCGACCAAATTGTCGATTAATACACTACATGAAAACCACCTTTCAAGCAACGTGCTACGATACAAGTAGGTAGAAACGTATTATATCGATGAGTACGAACTACGAAGAACCTTTTTTCCTATCTCCCTCTAGTGAGAAACTTATTAAAATGCAAAATAAATTTAGAAGAAATTGCTAAATAATATTGAAATTTTATACCAATCAATAGATGGCGTACGAATTAAGTAAAATTGAATTTCCCAACTGTTACAACACGCCCGCACGCACAAAATGTATTCAACATCAATCAATCCAATCAGCTGAAACAAATATAGGCATCCAGGCCCAGATAAAACACACCACGCAACAAGCGATCGATTAAACAAATTAAATTGAAATTAAGGTTCTAATTACCTTAAATACAAACCCCAAGCTGAATGATGCTTCGGAATTACGGCACTTGTTGCATGCGTACCAAACTTTGTTACATTTCACAAGCATTACATCTTCAAGAATCTTTTGTTATTACCATAGCTTCCTATGCCATTTCCAAACAGAACTAAGAGAAATATGGAAATCAAGCGTAACATGTTTGTAACACTTCACTTAACTACCTACTATACATATAGTGTTTTACTAAGTAACTACCTCACTTTTTTCTTTTTGTTTCAGAATTCTTCAGGAATCTTATGAACAATTCAAAACGGGAGTTTCACGAAATGTTCAAGAAAACTTACGGTGTGATCTACTTACAGCATTCTTTTGTATTTACGGATTTTTTCGAAGAATTAGAGAGATATTATAATAGCGGTCGCGTACGACTAGCGGAAGCCTTAGATACCTTCTTTGGAATCCTGTATCAACGCATGTTCACCGTAATTAATGCACAATATCAGTTCGACGACAGATATTTAGAATGTGTAGCCGAACATATGACCGATTTGAAACCGTTTGGCGACATCCCGCACAAACTCGGAATACAATTGAGACGATCGTTCGTAGCTACGCGAGCGTTTTACAAAGCCTTAGCAGCCGGTGCCGATGTCGTTCGAAACATGGGCTCCTTAACGCCGACGGAGAGGTGCGGGAATGAATTGGCTCGAATGCAACATTGTGATAAATGTCTTGGGATAAAGGGTACAAAAAGTTGTTCGCCGTATTGCCTATCGATTTTGAAAAGTTGTTTAGAAAACCATATACTTTTAGATAACCAGTGGAATAACTTTGTGGGTAAGTTGCTCATCAGAAATATTGTCGGCTTAGTATATTAATCTTGTCGGTTTCCAGATGCATTAGATAAGGTAGCGGACCGTATTACAGGTGCTTTTAATATAGAAATGGTCGTAGAGCCTATTAATATAAAAATTTCTGAAGCTGTGATGATTTTTCAAGAGAATGGGGTAGAGGTCTCGCAAAAAATATTTACAGGGTGCGGCAACCCCGCTTTGCAGAGGCGACGTCGTCAAGCTAGTACTCCCAGTGACGTCGAAGAACCTCGCGTTGAAGCGCGAAGGGTGAAAACTGATGAAGATGAAATAACATTTGAAACGCTCACTTTTAATGAGGAGAGCAACAATAAAAGTAAAAACAAGAAAAATAAGCACAAGAAAGTTGATAGTGGCGCTACTCTCGAGAAGCTTATTAGAGATATCAAACAGGTAAGTAATATTTGCTAGGTATCTACTTGTGTACAGTTAGCAACCTAGCAAATCAGCAGCAGATTTGCATATTTTGTATGAAGTTCTGAAGCTTAAAATATGCAAAATATGCAAAAACCTAATAATCCCCTGGCAATGATCATAAAGGATCCAATACTATCCCTACGGCAGCAATTTTGCCTTGATTCTCAGTTTCTGATAATAATCGATTTTTATTGAAAGAAAAGATTTAGGCAAAAATCAAACACAGATGTTTAATATGGACAATCCCGTTTAGCCTCTGGTGAGACTCCGACTGACCGGAGAATCATAATCTGTCATGTGTGATATTGAGAAACAAAATGTAAACATTAAATAAAATCGATTTCTATTAGAAATAGTGGATGGATTAGCATTTATTATCGATGTTGGGGGCTGAATCTCCCAGAAATTGGGCTATTACTGGAGCTATTGCAAACACCATGCGAGTTTAATCAATAAAAATTTTCAATTTGGACCTTTATTTGTAGCGTGTGAAAGATAGTCGACAATTCTGGAGCCAACTACCATACCAAATGTGCAACAATGAAGCCGTTCCTCCAACATTTGATGGACCTTGCTGGAATGGTACAGCTTTAGGGAAGTACGAAGAGGCCGTCCCATCACAAACCACCCCATCACCATCATCTAGTCCTCCCATCTTAAATCAACAAACCTTCATCTTGCAAGCCTTAATAAGCAAACTACAGGCGGCTTACCAAGGGCAAGATGTCGATTTGGCTGACGACACCGTCGATTCAGAAGATCTGCCTAGTGTGAGCGGTTCAGGATCGGGAATGGGACTTATAGATGGTTCGGGAGATCACGACGATTTCGGTGTACCGGAAGTACCAAGGATGGACACCGGAGCACCACAAATTCCGACAGTCCTACCAAGTAGCACACACCCGCCTGAAGTTGTACCAGCTTCTGCTAGTATTAATAGTCCCACGCTTACGAAAGCTCTTGCACATTATTTGCTACCAATCATTTTAGTTTGGATCGGAGGAGCATTCTCCGACTTATTGCTGTGATACCATTTGCCAGTACTCTTTTGTAAATATTTTGTATATAAACTTTATGCCTTTTAAAACCTAGAGACTGCAACATTGCCATATCTAATCATTAGTTTTTAAGCTGTAATTTTATTAGCACAAATTGATGCGTCTTAATGTAACTGATATCGGTGTAGGTGAGCTTGAGGTTTTAAACGTTTGAATGTCTGAATGAACACTGTAATTTATGTATATAGTTTGTGTAATATTTTTATAAGTATTTCTCTGTAAAACATTATTTATATAAAATTAATAAAGCTATATTAAAATTGACTTTTAATAATAAACTTTATTGAGAAAAATAGACATTTCGTAAATTTGCAACATGAACACTTCAGTCTATATACTGCTTGGAACGAGTTTTAATATACACATAGGCTACAATAAATATAAAAGCTGCCGCCAATGTTGGGAACACAATTGTATAAATTTGTTTCTTCGTAGATGCAAAGTCCTTTTTTCGCTGTCTTTTCTCCTTTGCTGATTCTTTCGGTTTTCCTTTAAGCTGTTTCATTTCGAATTTGTATAAATTGCACTATTTTAATACACGATTATTCTTTAGCTTGGTGTTATTACTATCGCAGTACAAGCAGGAATTACTGGTGCTGACGTTTACAACATGAAAAATAATTGCATAGGTTACAAATGCCATGTCAACTTCTACCGGTAGGCCAACTCATAATAAACATGAAACTGTTATGCAGATTTCTACATTACCAATCTGTGGATTGTTTTGAACTACTTTAACGTAGAAGAACTACCACATCACATCCCATTACTCTTTAATAGGTGGCGGCACTTACTTATATCGAGCTTTGAATGTAATTGAAGTTTCGAGGGACTTTTATTCCTCGTCTTTGCATTAATGGTTCAATGTTTCCTGAATAGCAAACAAAATACCACCATGTTTCATAAAAAAAGTGTGTGGTAAATTTAAATAAACTACATTAGTTTCGCTTATCTGTCAAAGACAAGTAAATGCCATATTAGACGATACATTTTTTATTGCAGCAACTATTGCTGAGATTATTGCAGTAATTACTGTAAAAAGATGCGGTAATTACACTATGTGCAATTTATTTGGCAATTTTTATACACCATTCTAATCATATAGTGGTACAAATGAATGTAGAATTCGTACCACTGGATAATACTTGAAAACGATTTTTAAGCCAGTTGTAGCTCATCAAATTCTTTTGTTTTCTTTCTTACAGTTTATTTCCCACTAAAATACACACAAGTAGGCAGTCCAAATATTCCACACAGTACACAGAGCGGTCTTTAGTTGCTCTTTGTTGAACCCGAAAACTATTCAAAATTGATTACTTGTAATAATATAAATGCATAACATAAAAATTCTCACATTATAAACAAACAAAATATGTAGCACCTTATAGGCTTTGAGGGGTGAGATATTTACACCAATAGCCAGGGGCGGTTTTTAGGGAGGGGGGGGCGACAGGGGCGATCGCCCCCCCCCCCTAAACATACTGCTCAATTGTTTTTTTTATTTCATTAGGTTTACATAATAATCGAATTAAATAGACCTAACCACAAACCACCTGACGGAAAAGTAAAATTGAATAAAATACAAAATAATGCCGGCGGGGGCGGAATCGTGTAATGTCCAGACTGCGACTCACGACTGCACTCAGCACTGATTACCACCGCACTGCTAACTTCAATAAATGCATATTAATAACACGTCTGCTTATCTGCTGTAATGTAAAACAACCCTAAAAATGTTATTTATAATATAATAATGAATATGGTGCGGATATATGGCATTTTGCTTATACATTAATTTTGAATGCAGAATGTAATGGTTATTAGTTTTGGATCTATACGTTTCATGAAAAATGAAGGCGTTCGAGCTTATTTTTATTTTGCCTTTTTTGAACAATGGCGCTTTAAATGCTTTTTGTTGCTTTTTTTTAAAATTTCATTTCATGCTTAAATTGGATCGGGATAATATTTGGCAAGTTAAGTTAATTGAATGTGGTACAGAATGTTGGGATTTGCAGTTTTTATGAATAGCACACTGTTACTTAATAGGCACTAGGCAGGATAAGGCGTTGCAATTTTATACTTGATGGAGGTACCTCTGATAAGCAAGCCAAGTATCAATCGAGGTATCCATATCACAAGGCACCCACAATTGGGTCAAAGCTACTTAAAAAAAATTCCCGCGCACCTCTGCATCTGCAATTCTGTAGCTTTTTTATTTTCGACCCCCCCCCCCCCCCCGAGTAGATGTATAAAACCGCCCCTGCCAACAGCAAAGTTAATGCGAAACCCATATTCCAGTAATTACATATGCAATCAAGGATCAAAAAAAATTATTATAATAATAATAATATATTTTTGTGTTTTGCACAGTAGCGCTTACATTCGTAAAGTCGATTAGCAATAGGTATCAGCAAAGAGGCTCTTTTTTATAAAAACAAATGCACATACAAACAGTGGCGGTCCCAGGATTTGGTAAAGGGCGGGGCCTAAACCCGAACTTTGTCCCAACACGGAAAAAAATAAACGAAATCTCGCATAATGGAAATGAGATCGACACAAAATTGATTAAAAAAATGGACAATGGGAGGGGCCGGGCAGAGTAGAACAGATGCAGAGCAAAATCTCAGAGCAAGTTATTTCTCACTCTGAGGAGTAAGATCAACTTTGAATAGAAATCTGTGATAATCCTGCATCAATCCTCCCTTTTTTTCAGAGTGAGTGAGTGAATATTAAGGAATAGTATTTTAGATATGTACAATGAAATTATTACTGAATTTATAACCGTCCTTAAATATATTGATTTATAACAGTAAAGTATTATTTGTGCTAAAATTTTTAACGCAAGCGCGAAATTGATTTCGGCTTTGATCTTGCAACTTCGCTACAATGAAAGTTTATTTTTATTGACCAAGAATGAAATCTTTTTGTCATATCCTGTTACAATAATTAAGTAATAAGTTCAAATTTTTTTCTTAACTTCAAGGGGCAGGATCGCCCGTTCATGTTCATCAAGTGATATGTATGTATATAATTAAATGATAATTATGTACATTATTTGTGATTTTTTGACATTTCTTTCAAAGAGCGAATTGGCCCTTTTATGCCCCAGATATAAGACTATTAAATTAGAATGTTGCACATTTTCCACATTAAAAAAAAACAGTACAAATAAATATCCAAATCTTCATATTTTAATAAAAGCATAATATTTAAATACATATATACAAGGAAATTTAACAAGATATATAATTAACTACATTATTACACCGTTATAAGTTGACCAGAACACCAAGCGCACGGATGGAAATTTTCCAAAGATTCTTTGGGCTGAATTAAATTACTCGTTTTTATATCGGCTAAAAGTGCAATAATCTCCTCCGCCATTCCCGTGTTCTGTTGCAAATTATTATTTTCACAATTCACATTGTGCTCGGGAATTTTATGCATATCTTCGTGTATCTTGGCGTGTTCCGTGCACAACTCCTGCTTTTCCATCGCCATCTTGTGGTGCTCTAAAAATTCGGGCGACAGCGCGCCCTTTTCCAGCATCAACCTCTTGACTAGTTCGTTGAGGGCGTCCAGTTTTCGCTTGACGGTCTCGCGATCGTAAGCCAACCGTTTCAATTGGTCGTCCTTTTCTTGTGTGCGTTGCTGCAGAATGCCCCGTTGATGTTGGTATAACGCGATATATTCCCCGATGGTTTCCGTTTCGTCCTGCAGCTGCATTACGATATGTTCGAGACGTTGCTTCTCTTCGGTTAAATTTGCGATGTCCGCCATTGTTCGGGTGAATTTATCCTCCAAATGCTTCATCGCCGCTTCCTTATCTAACGTGCTTAGATCTACGCTTTTGCTGTCATCGACGTCACTCACGGTTTGACTGCCCACCTCGATATTCAAGATATCAGGATTCGACTGTGACAAAAGTTGCAGCCTTTCGGATCGTAGCTGATCCTGAATCGAATCCGTTATTTTACTGGCTTCTTCCCTTAACGTTTGATTTTCTTTTGATAGGTGTTCTATTAGGTGTTGGGCCTGCTGCAGTTCATTTTGAAGAGCGTTGCTGCTACCATCTTGTGCTTCATAGTGTCGCAGCCTATCGTTTAATTGGTCGTGCTGCAATATTTGCTTATTTTGGAGAGCTAACGTATCACGCATGTGAGTAAGTTCACCGTCTTTAATTGCAATGGCTTCGGATAACGTATGCAACTGATGTTCGGTGTGTGTTAATTTTTCGTGTAATTCTTTATTGTGATATTCTTCGCTAGTTAGTCGCTCGGTTAAGTCAAGTTTGTCGTTACTCTGTAAAAGAATGAATTATTGCATTTTAATTCATTTGTATGATTTTGGTGTTAAAACGCAAAGGCGATCTACAAGTGATTGCACTACTCAAAACAAACAGAGAGAGGGAAAAATGTAGAAAAAGGACTAGACAGTTTATAGTAACGACCTACCATTCTAACAAATGCTTGTTGCATCTCCTCTAACTGTTGCTTCAGTTGTGTATTCTGCTCCACAGCTCTCGATGCAGCAATCTTATCACTTTCAATAGCATGCAGTAACTTGGCATTGTCGGGCTGATCAGATTGTAAATTTTCCATTTGCGATTCCAACTTTTCAATGCACTCTTTCTTATACTCCGAATCGCGTAGCAGTTCGTCCCGTTCGCTCACAACATCATTGTAACATTCTTCCAACTTATCTCGGTCAATTTGGAGACTTTGAAGAGTTTCTGTTACAGCTTCCAACTCCTTCCTAACGTCCGAAGTCGCGCTACAACTGTTTGCCGCATTTAATTGGTCCTCTTGTAACTTTTGCAGATGTTTTTCCAATTCGCTGATGTGGTGGACGAAATTGGACTCGCGCTTATTCAATGATTCATTTTCCGTAGTTAGATTTTCCAATTTTTGAGCTAGGGAAGTAATTTGACCGTTTAACTGTTGCACGTAGTGTTGGTATTGCACACTCGCCTGGTCCCTTTCTTCGGTGGTCGCCTTTAGCGCCTGACTAAATTCCAAAACTTGTTTCTCTAACATGATCTTTTGTTGGGTTAGGGCTTCAACTTGCGATTCCGCTAGCAAATTTCCTCCGGTTGTTATTTGTTCAATTTTTACCTTGGCAAGAGATAGATGATGCTTGGCATCTTGCACCTCCCTTTGGAGATCTAGGTTTTCTTTGTTTTTTAGGTTAAGTTTTTCTTTTGTTTCTAAGAAATCTTGAGAAACTTCTTCGTAACGACCAGTTAGATCCTGTAAAAATTTCTTTAGCAACTGCTCATGTGGGTAACTGAACAATGAAATGTTGTGTATGTCACTGAAGAATTGAATCAACATAAATTGAACAATTACAAAGATATTTGTTTTTTTCAGTTATCCACGCAATCTCGCAAAATCTAGGACACGCGACTTTCAAAAAGTTTATTTTCCTAAATTGAATTAGAGAGATGAAGACAGGAACGAGTTTGATGAGGCGACAGCGAAAAGGAGAGGTGTAAACAATAACGGCGTATGATGAAGAAGAAAATGGTGCAAGAAAATTGACCAAATGGAGGAATGAATAGAATACAAAAAGAACTTGCAAATGACAATAGAGCAATTAATTTAAAAGAAGCTAATGATAAATAGCAGCAGGTCCCTAACAAAACGCGGAGCGGCACGATATCTCTAACACGCCGGGCACCGCGACCACACTCTCCCCCCCCCCCACCCTTCCGCCGCGAATTGAGGTAAGTATCGAGAGAGGAGTGTACCAAGTTGCAATTTTTTGCGTTATGCCGCTTACAAATTGAGAAGACATTTTTTCGAGGATATCTCAAACAATTAGGGATAACTTTTTTATACTTTTTATGAAAACTTTGAAAGACTCCATTAGTGGTAGCGCGGAGGTAAAACATTTTCGAAAAAAATTCGCGAGGTACGTAGTGCGTGGTCTGATGAACCATCAACCACGCAACATGAAATGGTTGTTGGACCCCTCTCTTGAGGTGGGTAGTATTCCGATCTTTGAATTTCTTAAAAAATGAAAAATCTCGCGTTTGAATTCGTGAAGAAATTCGGCGCGGATAACCATCCTAAAAAATAAAATTTATGAAATCTCCTCCTTCCCCGTAAGCGTGAGGTATCTCTCAAAATTCTCGAAATTTACTGATGTTATTTGAACAGATACAAAAAAATAAAAAGCCCTTTTATCAATGACAAATTTTTCTACTTTCCAGAAAATGTTCTTTCTTGTATGGTTTTTGAGAACCCCATGATAGACATCTTTATCTTGGACACTGTATACAGGGTGTTTTTTTGGGAGCTTTAGTTAAACGTTTCTGGGAAAGTAAAATAGGTAGGTTTTTGAAAATTTGTACTTAGGAGTTACTCTGAAGGCCGAATCGATGTAAAATATTTTCAAAATGGCCGCACTTCCGGAAACACCGGAAGTAGATAGTAACTTCGTTATTTTAAATGGCAACCCCTATTGCATTTTTGGATTCTACGTGAAATTTCACTTCTTTTGATTCCCATATGTCGATATCTACCATTTATGGTTTTTAAGTTATTTTGACTTTAAGAAAAAAAATGGCAGATGCAGATGGTACCTTGATAATTGATTACTTGAAAACGGTTGTAGTCATGGCAACCTATTTTTATCAGTGCATAGAGAATGAATAGGGCTTTCTTTTAGTGCACTTAAAAAAAAGTTAAGTTGTGTACGACCGCCCCTATGGATATCCAAATTTATGAAACTTCAAAGACTAAAAACTCAGTTTTTTTTAAATGGAATGGCCATGTTCTTACTATTCTATGAGATAGAGAATCGAAATGGGCATATTTTGACAATACATGTTCCTATAGCTATCTTTAACAGTTTCTGACTTATTCCCATTTTATTGAATTGACACTATTTTTTTCGGATTTTCTTTTTAGTAGTCGACCATGATTCTATAACAATTGACTTTTAAACAAATCTAGTGACACTAATCCATCACCCACTGATATAGGTTAACATAAGTTTTTTAAAAAATCGAAAAATGACTCGCAGTGGTTTCACCTATTTTGGAATTTAATTGTTATTTATGGTGAAATGGGCAGATTCGCGGCGCGTGCTTTCGGTACATTCATTCGAAACCTGGAACGAAATTGTATGAATTTTGGAAATTTTGTACCCCCAAATGCACTACAAACCGTTAAAGCACAAGCGATACAAAGCTCTACAAGAGAATATTTAAGAAAATGAATTGAATTGCAAATGCAAGATTAACAAAATAAATTCAATGCAGAATATAAAAAAATTCGTTGAAACATTTTTGGTATGGAATTGTTGCTAGAACAGATACCGCATTACTTCTCTTAATTTCCAGACTTATACGTTGTTTAAGAAATTCAGTTGAACGACTGTTTAGATTTTTCAAAAATTTTCCGTCCTATATCCTTAATAAATGAGTTATTTATTAATGAATTATTTAGACTAGAACTAGAATCAATGGTATTAAAGAATCCATTCCTTGATTTGTTTAAAATTCGATTGTTATAAAATCATGGCCAACTACTAAAAAGAAAATGCGAAAAAAAATGGCATCAATTCCGAGATCAATTCAATGAAATGAGAATAAATCAGAAACTGTTAAAGATAGCTATAGGAACATGTAATATCAAAATATGCCAATTTCGATTCTCTATCTCATGCAATATTAAGAACATGGTCATTCCATTTAAAAAACTGAGTTTATAGACTTTGAAGTTTCTTAAATTTGGATTTCCATAGGTGCGGTTGTACGCAACTTAACTTTTTTTTAAGTACATTAAAAGAAAGCCCTATTCATTCTCTATGCACTGATAAAAATGGGTTGCCATGACTATACCCTTTTTCAAGTAATCAATTATCAAGGTACCATCTGCATCCGCCATTTTTTTTCTTAAAGTCAAAATAACTTAAAAACCATAAATGGCAGATATCGACATATGGGTATCAAAAGAACTGAAATTTCACGTAGAATCCAAAAATGCAATAAAAAATAGGGGTTGCAATTTAAAATAACGGAATTACTATCTACTTCCGGTGTTTCCGGAAGTGCGGACATTTTGAAAATATTTTACATAGATTCGGCCTTCAGAGTAACTCGTAAGTACAAATTTTCAAAAACCTACGTATTTTACTTTCCCAGAAACGTTTAACTAAAGCTCCCAAAAAAACACCCTGTATATGAAAATATTTGAAAAAGATTTTTTCCATGAAATTTGAGATGGGAGTTCTGGATAGTTTCGAATTGATCTACAGGAGGCAACTATTTAGTATAACATGTATCTGAATTAAACTATAATGAATATTTTAAGCTCTTATTTCAGATAAGTATTGATATACAAATTTTGTTTCAATAATTATACTTTCCTTAATTTCTCCGATTTCCATTGAAATCTCTATGGTGTGTGAACCAGTTCTACACCCTGTATGGGAATATGAGTATATGAGAACTATTTTAATTACTTATCAAGAACTATGAACACTGTATTAAGTGTTGTAAAACTCTACAAGGAAAATAAACATCTCAATATACAGTGTGTACCAAACAGAATATTGTGTAAGTAAACAACGTCATGTAGACGTTATTCCAGTCTAAGCACCGAAAATATTGACTTGACATCCTGTATACAAAAATATTTCAATTTATTAAGTAAATCTGGTGGATTATTTACAGATAAGTATTTCAGTGTTTATTTTTCTTTTTAGAAATTTGTTACAGTTGTTTTCGCTTTTGTATTCAATTTAGATAACACTTTAGAATTAAGGTTACATCTGGTCGTTTGCGATAAGAATTTTTATTATCAGGCTAAATTTAAATAACGCGCGTGTTCTGTTTCTGATAAGGAGATGCAGATGTTTCGTAGAATTGTGCGTTGGAGAAAGGAAGGTTGGCGCGTTCCGTTGTGATTGGCGATTGAAGGAGTTTCGTTAAATCAAAATCGTGTACACCTGTGTACACTAAATTGCGAGCAGCCAGCCATAATTGTTTTGTTGAAGACGGAAATCGCAGAGATTCGCTTAATTGGAATACCATTTTGCTTAATCGTGATATTAAACTTGGATTAAATTAAATCCTTTTCAACTTTCTTCTCTTTTGTAAATTACTTAATTGCAGCCAAACCAATTTGTAAAGTTTTTGCTTTTGTTTGGGTTTATTTTCTAAATTTCGTGCAATATAAATACCTAATTGGTTCAAATTAGTTGGCTAAATAAGTGAGGATTAATCTACCAGTTTTCACCACTTTGGTTATTAAAGTGATAGTCCTCTATTACTCATGCAAACCTATCTAAAATGAAATACCACAAAAGGAAAATCATGTGCGATTTATGACAGGTTCAATATACGCTGTCTCCGAGATAAGAATGGCCACTATGGGCATTCTAGAAAGAGAAAGAAATACAAATTTGGTTAAATGGGAGAAAAGTTGCGTAATCCAAGGGTTAAGGGTCACAAATCCCTGGAAAATTTGTTAGTTTTTGAAATACAGTAGATTCGCGTTTATGTGAACATTCGCATACATGAACATTCAGTAATGTGAACAACAAATACGGTACAGTTGGTGCTTTAATTCTACGAAAATTGACCGTCAGCGGACATGTTTTTGGTGGCAAACAGAGCTAAAATCTGCTTCACCTTGCGATCATTTTTTCTCCCTCGTTTATCTTTCCTTCTCCAAGGTTCCAATGTAAGATAAACGCACTGTAGATATGAATGAGGGATTTATGAATTCATGAATGCATGGATACCACCTGCAGACCTGCGCGATTATGCCCTTCTTCTAACAATATGCGTACCAAATTTGATTGCAATCGGTTCAGCTGTTTAGCCGGAAATGCTGGTACAGACAAACAGACCAACGAACATCACTGAGATTTTGTGTGATTCAAATTCTTGGTGCTTTAAAACATGTATTACTGTCAAAAAAGAGGGGAGGGGGTAATTTTTACCAAAATGCAATACCTCCCTTACTAATGTGTGGATGGATAAAAATGTGTGCTAACAGAAAACCAATTGAAAAACTACAACCTCTCCATCTCCAATGAAAAAAATGGGTATCTAATTGGATCATGTGAAGAGTACCTTGAGTGGTACCCAAATTTGACACATCATGACCTATAGCGAGAACGAGAAAAAAAAAAAGATATTTATACAACTCACTATCACCTCACCCCCTCTATTGTTGCCAGATACCCTAAAATACGTACTTCATAATCCCTTTTCCACTTTTGAATTTCCTCCTCGTAAACATTTCCCGACTCGTACTTCTGCTTTTCCGCCTTGAGCATTTGCAAATCCCTCTCCAAATCGGCAACGCGCGACCTCGAAGTCTTCAAACGCCCCTGCAGCTCCTCGCACTCGCTAACCTTCTGTTTCGCTAAAAATTGCGCCTGCGAGAGCGCACTCGACAGTTCGGTCTTTTCGGCTATAAGTATTCCGACGGTCTGAGCGTGGCACTGTAGTTGCTCTTGTAAAGGCCCGACCTCACGATTCAACCTGTGTTCGTAGTCGGTCTTGATCTGTTGACATTCGCATTGCAACTGCTCCACCTGACTTTGAGATTCGCGAAGTTGATTACGTGCCGTATGCGAGACCAAACATTCTTGATCCAATAATCTGGCCAGTTCAACGTTCCTCCTTTCCAGATCAGAGTCGTCGTGCGTATCTGGTTCAACCTTGATCAGTTCGTTAATTTCAGAGGACAACTGCCTCAGACTTTCTATATTTGAGTTTACAAGTGATTTTTCCGCCGGAACAATCTCCTCAACTCCATTTGTTGCATCAGTCATGTAGTCGGATAACTTTCTCGCATCTTCAAAAGACACAAATGGATGGTCCACAGGCTTTTCCGTATATACTCCATACGGCTTACTTTCTGTAAGTTCGGGATATTCCAAAGAACCAGGATCACTATGCTTTTCATTAAAAATGGCATTTATATGAGAATCTTGAACGTTACTTATAGGTGGATGGTTTGTATTTGTTTGAAACGATAACGAATCAAAAAAGTCTTTTTGCTCGGTGACCACATTTTGTCTCTCTGGATTAAAGTAATTTTGAAAAGGAGACCTTTGGTTGGTGTCTCCAATATTAGTAGATACAGTTTCTAAAGGCACGATATCAAAACCACCGTTAATGGAACTATGCGTTGAATTACTTAAGGCATCGTTTGTATGTAAATTTTCTTCACCTGTTTCTGGTTTTTTACTTTTTTGTTGATACTCCTTGAGCTGCAAAAATAAATAAGTTGAAGGATGATGATGTGGCCAATTGTTGAACAAGGAATTTATTTAGATTATTGTGAGGATGATCCACTATTTAGCTAATTATTGCTTTTTTAAATTCTTCAAATTATTTGGTGTATTAAACAAATAATCGGCAATATTTACCTTTTTCTTAGCAGCTGCTAACTTTTGTGATTTTGTAGCGTCCGCCATTTTTTTGTTTTTAGATTGCGGACATCAATTTCTTTCAATTCCACCAGAGTCCGCAACTTGCGCAGCACACTATTCCACCACAACCCCACATCATAGATTGAAATATCTTTTTTTGCTCCACATCTACAAAGACCATTATTCCTGATAGTATAAAAATAAAAACTATGAATTGTAATCTTTTTAGACACGGATGGAGACGGTTATATAACGAATACAAAATGTACAGTGTGATTCAACTGAAATCGGCACTATTACAAACTGAATTTATACTAAAAATACTGTTGAGATGTTTATTAGAATTTTAGTGGTTGCGTGGTTTACTTGTTTTGTCAATACACACTTTAGCGGGCGACGGTAAATAAAATGCAACTTGCATTTTATGGAATATATTTATTACAATATGTACAAAATGGTAGCCCAAGGGCACGCTACGAGCTTTTTTTTGGTGAGGCGCAAAGTGAGCTGGTTCTGTAGGCGGAGAGCTGGTTTCTTGAAGCGCCGTTGAAGCCGAAATTGACTTTGCAGAGTTTAGAGTTCTGGTTTTAAACATTTGCTGCCGCCTCAGGTCATATTACTCCAATTCTAAATGGCTGTTTTTTGAGAAAATATAAGTTATACGCCAAATGAAAACGTTGATAATAGATCTTAAAAAAATTTTTAAAAATCGCGAACATTTGGTAACTCCGTAAAAAACAATTCTGAGTCCGTTTTTCATGAACTTTCTACAGATTTGACTAGCTTACGGTTCGATGAATGAAGTTGATTTTTTTACAGACTAATGATAGGTACTGCCAATGACTAGGACCGCCCGTCGAATTCTGGACTAAACTGTTTCTTCAACTGACTGCCTATGGCTACCGATTGTGCCTCTGAGAACGTTCAAAAACCGCCGACCGTGGGCAAAACAAGACTTCAATCTTCTGTCCGTGCGTCCATTCCGCTGACATCACATCTAGAGTTGCTGCCGACTGGCGCTATTTTAGCCCGCTGGAGGCCGACCGGGCAGCACTTAGGCACACCAGAGGCCCATTTGTAATTTGTCATTTGTAAATTTATTTTTCTTTTAATTAAATTTTAATTTTGATTCTGCTGATCGTTTAATTTTAATGCCATTTGTGCGCGGACTTCCTACCGAAGTTCGTATGTTAATAAGAATAAACCACAAAAAAAAAGAGGATAAAACAATTCTCATTTTTTGTTACAAGCCCCAGAACAAAAAACTTTCCAAGCTGAGCACATGTAATTGTTTCAATAAAGATAACCTCTCAAAGCCAAACTAGTGGGGTTTAATTGTAAAAGGTTCAGTTCTATACAAAATTGAGCGTTTTTAAAAAGTACCCTTTCGCTATCAGAAAATAGGTTTGTTTGTTTGCAATGCGCCAATCTTTCCAACGACATCACTATTGTTCAACTAAAAACACCCTAGATTAAAACAGGACTTAAAAAACCAACCGAGAAGTTCTACAATTTTGGTAAAGGGCATCTCTTGCCGCTGGCTTAAATTTAATGATAGAAGAGCATTAAAATTTACATAAATAAACAAAGATTGTCATAAATTTTATTAAGTTTCACCTTTCCCTACATATATCTTTTCTTACAATAATTTCATAATAATATTGAAATAGGAATTATTGAAATACTATTAACTCTTTATGAAAATCAAGGGATAGGTGAATAACGTAAAATAAATCTATCAGCTTATTTTGCATGCTCAACATATTTCATCTTATTAACAATTTCTAAATACAATAAATATATATTTCCGTTACGAAAATAAAATTAAATTAATGAAAACACATTTACAAAATATAGAGTTATGTACATATAAGGACTACCTACACAAGAAAACAGTGACATATCACGATAAATTGAGACGATATATTTTCTAACTTAACATCACATATTTGAACATCAAGCGTATATAGCGTGAGAACGAAATTTGAACGAATTACTAATCTAAATATGTGCCCTTTTAGAATACCGGAGACAAATTTAAAGAGAGATTTTGTATGGTTTTATTCCGAATGGCAGTTCGATTTGTACGAGCCGATTTAATGATTTGTTGCAACATCATTTTACAATCGTGACAGACGACTAGTTGAGATCCTTTAAATTTATCCACCATACCGGCGGCCTTACCTACGGCGTTCGCCTTGGTTTTAAACCTTTTTAGCGCACTGCCCTCACTTAATCTTGACGCGATGCTCCCATCGGAACAATTTGGGCTAAGACCATGATCATCTTCTGTATCCGGATCAGGTGTCACTCTACTACTGCTACTTTCACTACGATGGTCTTCCTCCGGCGTGGCCAATATGCTAGGACTAAGTAGAGCAACGGGTACTCCAGCGAATTGCTCCATGGGTATGTTCATTTTTGAATAGCAACGAAAACAAACAGTCCTTTTGCAAATAATGCAACGTTGGCCCCAAGGACCGAAAATTCCAAAACGTGTTTTCAAACATAAAAAACATACTTTACGATTTTCTACATCACCACGAACCCTCCCTTCGACTGGCAGAGCTTCCAATTCGGCTTTGGTCAGAACAGATCTGATATGAACAATTTCCTCAAGCGTAAGAGAGAGCCTGTCCTCCAAAGACATACCCTCGGGCCAACATTTCCCACTTGCGATTAAATGATCCTGCAATGACGTCGACATTTCCGGCGGTATAGAATCTGCTTCGGAGCTGTTACAGGATTGACGGGAACCTGGCCTCGATTGCGGGACAGACTGGCTTCCCCACATGTGTTCGACCACACCCAACGAGTGACGACGGCTCTGATAACGAGATTCAAAATCTTGGGTTGCTAAATCGTATGCGTCCAATGTCGATTCGCTTAACGGGTTGCATTCCTCATACACCCACAAATTTGGAGGCTCCGTATCCGAATTGTTGCTCACCATTGGTTCGTCCTCGTCATCATCTTCATCTTGCAATTGCGAAAAATCGATTTTTATTAACTTACGCGTAGGCCCTTTCTTAACCGGACGCAACTGACGCCCCTTTCTAATGGAGTTCATGAGTTGTTCGCGGGGTGTGAGCGTGTACACCCGAGGAGGTAGTTTGCGATGAGAAGCCTTCTTTAATGGCGGGCGCGATCTTATAAATTCAAGTATTATCGCGTGCGCATCTTTGGTCACCTTATACGGAATATCACCGTTCACCATAATTTTCTTTAAATTATAGCGACACGCGCGAATGTCTTTCATCATAATTTCATAGGGCGTGAGTTCGTATTCGATCGGAGCCCTACTGTACTGCACCTTCCTGAGTTTTACTCCCAACCGTAATTCGGCAACGACCTGTTGAGGAAACAAATGATTGTGCATTCTAATGACATCTGTCATTCTTATTAAAAATGGGACGCGGAGCATGAAATAAAATGAAATTGAAAATAGAATACAATATTGTTTCCATAGCAGCGACGGGACATAAGTTTGCTATTTTTGACGTCTAAACTAAATTCAGAATTTTCTTAAGCTTTATACCTAATGATTATTATGGCTTCTGCTGTAAAATAAAGTTTTGTCAGGTACGTAATATTGGAAAAAATCGTGTTTGTTTTTTAATAGACCCGCAGTGCTTAATGGGTTCTAAAGTACTAATTATTCGACGTACGAGTAGGTACAGCACTCACGGAGAAAGAACATTTGAAGGTCGAATGCGCACTCGTCCTTTTTTATAAATTTTAAGCGCGGTAATAAGGAATATCCAGTGGCGTAGTAGGTACATAAAAATTTTGTTTGCTTCGTGGAAATATTTAGGCATGTAACATTATGAGTTGTAAGTACACGATCATTGCCGATCGCGCGACGTCACCTGCGCGGCCCGAAACGTTCTTTCTCCGTGAGTCCTGTACATATAGCCTCATACATAACTTTTAAAACTGCAAAATTTTGCAAAATGGCAAAAAATATTTCAAAGAGAAGTTGTATCATAAAAACTCGAGTAAAAACTGTTTCTAATTAATTAAATGTTTGTTAGCTACTTACGTTCGAAAATAAATGTGATGCGCACTATTATAAACCTCCCTATATCACTGAGAGAAATGTAGTATATTATATTGTACATAAACTACAAGATGTACAAGCTACAGGCTACTACTTTCTTATTTGTATGGGCGCCATATTGGATTTTTACGGAATTAGGTAGAGAATGAATGTAAAACATTTGATTTTGAAGTTTACCAAGAAATTGTCATTTTAAACAATCCTGCCATCTTCTTTTCGTCATGAAAACCTACATCTCTACAAAAAAATATTCTAATGTATAAAGTGCAATATTGCACATAATATTTAATATAAGTGATACATCACAATTTAGACAATTTTACGCTCTTTTCAAAAACTGCAAAATATATAGGGTGGTCTGTATGAAAAAATTTAGCGGCCTAGCGGCCAAACGATTAGAAATAGCTGAATTCTGTTGGCGCCTCTTTAAAATTGAACTCCATACACCTAGGTCCACTTTACTCTATCTCTTAAAATAAAGGGTGTTTCTATAAGAAAGTGTCCACTTTGGCCCACCCTGTATCCTGGTCAGTAAACATGTACTATACCTGCATCCAAAACCGTGCCCAATCTGCGAACTGCAACTGTTCCAAACCAGACGAATTCACACTGTCCGTAGCGACCTTTTCGAGGAATGACGAAAGTTCGAGGCCTTCGGAGACGAGTGCGCGTACCACAGCTTTATAGTGAGCTTCAACTTGGGGTTTAGTAAGTATCGGCAGATGTTTCTCGCACATTCTCATTATGTGCCTTATATTTCTCTTGGGACTCTCCGCAAGATCTTCACCTTCTTCCGTGTCATTTTCGATTCCCTCATCATCAGTTTCGTGATGTACCTCAGGTACTCTTCCATCCGTTATCATATCCGTAATGAGCTGCTCCAAGTCGTGGCTGATGGCCCTTTCTTCGCCGTCGGTACTATCATGATCCAACGCTTGATAAATAACTAGTCCCAAACCTTTAATAAAATGCTGCTCGTCGTTGAGTTTCTTTCGTGGAGCGCCCGCGCTAGCGTTGCTGCCGCCAAACAGCGTATTCGGGTGAACATTTCCATCGGTTTGTAAGAAGAGGTGATGAAGGGTTGTTAAGGAAAGATAATTTTCGTGATTATTGGTTCCTAGCA